AAAAATACAAAAATTAGCTGGTGGTTGCACACCTGTAGTCCCAACTGCTCGAGAGGCTGAGTTAGGAGAATTGCTAGAATCTGGGATGCAGAGGCTTCAGTGAGCTGAGATAGCACCACGGCACTCCAGGCTAGGCAACAGAGAGAGACACTGTCTCAAAAACGAATTTTAAAAAAGTATAATTATGGAATTTGCTTTGATAAATGTATATGAGTGTCATATTAGTCTTGAGCATCATAATTCTTGGTGATTTTTGGACCTTGAGTGAATTCATCAGTATAATCCTAAAACATATAATGGTACGCCATGAATTTTTATTTTAATTAAAATATTTATTAACATTGGACTTAATTTTAGCAGGAGCAATCAGTGAATATTTAACTCTAGCCATTTACACATGCATATAATCATAATACATATGGATTTGATAAAGGGAGAATAAAGGAAACACAACTCGTGCCTTTGTTATATAAATTTTATTTGCAAAACTAAAACAATGCTATTTGTCAGCCTCATACTGATCACAGGTGGGTGGAAATTCCTTCATAACAAATTTATGCTATTAATAATACATGGCAGTTTTCTAGGGAAAGCTATTATTAAAAAGGTGGAAAATGAAACTTTAAGTTAATTTCTTAAATAATAAATTCAAAATTTTAAAGATGCAATAATTTTCCAGCACTATTAGCCATCATCATTGTCATTGTTTCTATGGCAATGGGAGCATAATATCAGGTTGTGTATATAAATTGAACGTAGTGTGAATATGTGTATATATTCAAAACACGAGAATCAGTTTCACTGTTTACACAATTTTTTAAGTTTAAACGTTGTTCAAAATAAAGTTTAAATATATCTAATAGATTTTTACTTGTAATATACTTGCTAATAATTAGTAGTATTTTAAAAATCCTCATTTCAATTTGGTTATGTAATTTTTAAGATTAAACTCCTCTTAATTGCTTACAATGTATGAAATACTAAAACACTGCCTTGTGCATTAATACACATTCACCTGACCTTTGAGAACTTTTTTTTTGCAAAGTTTACTAAAAAAAAACAATTTAGCTGGCCTTGACAGATAGAAGTAGAAGTAGACTTTTTATAGTAGAATGCATGATTAAAGGAGGAATGGTATTTGATAGTGAGACAAAAAAGAAGGTGGACTGAGAGTGACATAGAACCTAATCTTATCAAAAAATAGGGAGTTGGTCTTAAATTTGACATCAAGGGGATTTGATATGATGTGGAGAGGAAGCCAAAGCCACCGAAGTGACATTAGGTGATAAAACGTGGGAAAAGGAAATGCTCTCCTTCAAGTCATGCAAATAATTTTTCAACAGTTCATTAAGTTGGCTTTCACCCTTCCCAGAAGAGTCTCTATTACTGCCCCACCCTATCTGATCTTGCCATTACGATCTGTTGGTAATTTTCCGCAGCACTACATTCCAAAACATACACATATGTCTGCATTTGACACCCTTAGAATTCTCCCAACAAAGGCAGATTCCCATGCAAAAAAAAACCCAGAAGAAATCAAAAGAAAGCTTAGCTAATTCCTCATATAACCTGTTGCCTCGCTGTTGTTAGACCTGCCCAGATAAACCTTAGGTCTTGGGAAGAAGGAAAGTTGCTCATTGTCATAGATGGAGTTCTCGTAGTTGTGCATATGGCGTGTTTCTTCATGATTAAGAAAGGTTACATTTATTTGGAAAAAGGGATACTGAAGTGAACCACAGTTCATTTGGCTTACTGATTGCTCTCAGCTTGTATACTGTGTAGCAGTCCAATTTCCCTTCATTAGGTCAATTAATCTTCTTATAACACCAATATAAATGGTTCTCTGTTAAAGTCTCAAGAGTGGTGTGCTAATGTGTTTCCTGCTTTGCAGTTGTAATTCACTTAAAACAGAGAGAAATATTTATATTGTAAATGGATTTCTGATGTATTATCCTCATCCTTTTTTTTCTTTTTTTAAATATATATTTTATTGTGTTTTAGGTTTTGGGGTACATGTGAAGAACATGCAGGATTGTTGCCGAGGTACATACATGGCAATGTGGTTTGCTGCCTTCCTCTCCATCACCTATATCTAACATTTCTTCCCATGTTATCCCTCCCCAGTTCCCCACCCCCCACTGTCCCTCCCCTAGTTCCCCCAACACAGACCCCAGTGTGTGATGCTCCCATCCCTGTGTCCATGTGTTCTCATTGTTCAACACCCATTTATGAGTGAGAACATGTGGTGTTTGATTTTCTGTTCCTGTGTCAGTTTGCTGAGAATGATGATTTCCAGGTTCATCCATGTCCCTACAAAGGACATGAACTCATCGTTTTTTTATGGCTGCATAGTATTCCATGGTGTATATGTGCCACATTTTCCCTGTCCAGTCTATCATCGATGGGCATTTGGGTTGGTTCCAAGTCTTTGCTGTTGTAAACAGTGCTACAATGAACATTTATGTGCATGTGTCCTTATAGTAGAACGATTTGTAATCCTTTGGATATATACCCAGTAATGGGATTGCTGGGTCAAATGGAATTTCTGTTTCTAGGTCCTTGAGGAATCGCCACACTGTCTTCCACAATAGTTGAACTAATTTACACTCCCACCAACAGTGTAAAAGTGTTCCTATTTCTCCACATCCTCTCCAGCATCTGTTGTCTCCAGATTTTTTAATGATCACCATTCTAACTGGCATGAGATGTCTCTATAACAGAATACTCAAGCCTGGGTAATTTAAAAAGAAAGATAGTTTATGTGGCTTGTGATTCTGGTGGTTAGAAGTTTCGAGTCTGGGCAGCTGCTACTGGTGAGGACATCAGACTGCTACAACTCATGGTGGAAAATGGAAGAGGAAACTTTTAGATTCTATTATAATCTACATTCAAACCTGAGAAGTGTTTCGTCTTTTGTTTCTGTCACAATCCCACCTTAATATTCCTGTAAACTAAGATTTGTATGTAGTGTTAATCACTACTAAAATATTTCTTCATGTCACTCTTGTGTAACAGCAATCCTTTTTTTGTTTGTTTGTTTGGTAATCAAATCAATTATTCTAGATGAAAGGTTCATGTAGTACAGATTCCTATACCAAAACTTGGGCTGATTTAGATGTCATTCTTTTCCTAGATCCCATTGAAAGTTATTAGCCACAGAATTACTAAGTAAAAAGAGCCAAGTTATCATTCCCACATCTACTTTATGCTACTCCCTAACTCAAGAAGTTTGCCAAGGATAGTTATGGGTTTCTACTTTATCTTGCTACCATAAAAATAATATAAATCAACAAAATTGGGAAAAAAGACAAAAAGTCAATGGGAAAAACCTGATTTTTTAAACAATAAATGAAATTGATGAATCTTTACCAAGGCTGCTGATGAAAAAAAGGCAGAAAACACGTGCTATCAATATCAGAAGTAAAGAATAACACTTCAGACTCTGCAGACATTGAAAGAATAAGGGAATACTGATAACAATGTTATACATAAAAATTTGGCAATTAAGATAAAATGGACCAATATTCTAAAAAGCGTAAACTGTCAAAAATCACCCAATAAAAGTAGATAATTTGAAGAGCCTTAATACATTTTAAGAAAATAGGATTTCTAATGCAAAAAACAATAAAGAAATCTCCAGACCCATGTGGTTTCCATGGAGAATTCCACTGAATATTTACGGAAGAATGAACATCAATATTACGCAAATGTTTCTGAAAATAGAATAGAAAGAAATATTTCCAAATTTATTTTATGAAACTAGTTTTTCTCTGATACTCAAACCAGACAAAGAGAGAAAAATACAATACAAAGCAGAACCTACAGACCAATATCGCTTATAATGTAAATATCCTTACCAAAATATGAACGAATTGATTTAAGCACAATATTAAGAAAATGGTACACTGTGATCAAGTGGTCAAGAGCAGTTCAATGTTCAAAAGTCAATCAATGTTTAATTTAAAAAAAATTATACTGTCTTATATGGAAAAGTTGTATGATGGTGAGGAATACAACTATAGCATATGTTAAAGTAATAGAAATCACAGATGATACTTAGAGACTTGAGAATGATCAGTAGTATACTATGTGTACTACCATCTGAGAGAAGTCATCTTCACCATGCATATACTTTTCCATCTTAAAGAATAAGAATGTGGTACTCTCCTCACTTTTCAACAGTTAAGCCATTTTATACCTGTATTAAATTGTATTTAGATAGAATTCAATTTTAACAGGAGTTTGTTTTATATATATAGTCAAACAACATCTATTTTATCAAACTGCTTGACAATATTGCCTAATTACTACACTCTAAAATGAACTTTTCTATTTTAAACAGGACTACACATCAGAAAAAAGATAAGAAACATTCCACTAAATTCAGGGTAACGCCTGGTTTACTTATAATCCCACTTATTGTACATTGTAATTTAGTACAATTATTTTTCTCATCACGGTATTTGCATAATAAATTAAAGATAATCTTCACCCAAGAGGTGGATACAGGATTCTTGGCTTCAACAGAATCAGTGAGAGTAACTGCTAATTACTATTTTTTATACCTGAAAACACTCAATGCATCTTATTTTACACTCCTGTTTCAAGATATATTAAGATGCATTAAAACCAGAAGACAAATCAACCAGGCAAGACAAATATTTAACAAGAAAATCCTGCATGAAGTTGGCAAAGCTCACTATATTTCTCATTATTTTGATGGAAATCCACTGTATTATGTACCTTGTTGTTTTCATATGATTTGATTAAGAACTAGGAAAACACCAAGATTGTGTTGTTTTTCACATGAGGGATTTCAATCAAAGTAATCAAGGTATTAAGAAATGTTATATTTTGTGTGTGTGACAATATTCATGAAATTAATAACAAATTTTATTAATTAAAATAACTCTGAAGGAAGAATGTAAAATTTTCAGGGGTCTGGGCTGTCAGCAGAAGCAGCTGGAGGCCAGCGGAGGAAACTCGGGAAGACATTTGCCATGGCTGAACACTTCAAACAAGTAATTAGATGTCTTGTTTGTCTAAATGATATTGAAGAAGCAGTGCAACTGAAATGTGGATATTCCTTCTGCCTCCAATATGTCAATTCACTGCAGAAGGAGCCCCCTGGGGAAGGTGTACTATGCCCCTTATGCACTGTGGCCTCTCAGAAGAATGACATCAAGCCCAAGTACAAGCTGAGGGCACTGATTTCCATCATCAAGGAACTAAAGCCCAAGTTGAAATCTATTCTAAGGATGAACCCAAGGATGAAGAAGTTTCAAGTGGATATGACCTTGGACGTGGACACAGCCAGCAACTATCTTACCATTTCTGAAGACCTGAGGAGCGGCCGATGTGGGGATTTCAAGCAGAACAGGATAGAGCAGGCTGAAAGGTTCAGCTCCACACTGTGTGTCCTGGGGACCTCTCGCTTCACTTCTGGCCACCATTACTGGGAGGTGGATGTGGGCACCAGCAAAATATGGGACGTGGGCATTTGCAAGGAATCTGTGAATCGGCAGGGGGATGTTGTGCTTTCTTCAGAACTCGGCTTCTGGACTGTGGGTTCCAGAAAAGGACAGATCTTTGCCGCCAGCACTATGCCTTTGACTTTTCTCTGGGTGAGTCCCCAGTTGCACAGAGTGGGGGTTTACCTGGATGTAGTTATGAGGTCCATTTCCTTTTATAATGTTAGTGATGGGTGCCATATCTACACATTCAACGACATTCCTGTTATCGAGCCTCTGCATCCATTTTTTTCTCATAAACGTGAAACTCAAGATGATCAGAGCTCCTTGAGTATCTGCCCTGTGATCAATCCAGACAGTGCCAGTCCCCCGGTTTCTTCTGGGGAAAGGAAATAAACATTTGAACATAATCAGCGATAGCAAGTTTCTGTGTGTCCGTAGCCAGAGCTAAGAACATTTCTGCTAGATACACACAGGTACAAAGGGAGAGAAGGGAAACATCAGTCATTTTGTAAACCACGAACAGAAAGCAATTATATTAATTAGGGGAAAATTACATTTTATGTATAAAGTTTGTCATATTTTCTTTGGGGCTTATGTTTATTCTTTTGTTCAATAAATGTTTTGAAATTTCAAAAAAAATTTTTTTCAAACAATTTGTGTGCTTCCAAACTGATGTTTTAGAACATTCTTTATCTGAATAAAGTTTAACATTAAGAAGATTCTGATCTAATGAAACTGAAGTTTTTGAAATACTTATGGTTTATATTGATACATCTTCTTTGTTGTTACCTTAGGTTTTGATGCATCCATTACTCTTGCAAGTGTGCATTTACTCATTTTGAGTAACAAAAGTACATGTTTTGTTTTACTTGAGCAAATTGAACCTATATTAATTTCTTGAGGTACTAAAATGTGTAATTACATTTTCAAAATGTTTTTGAAAGCATATTAGCATTTCAGTGTAGAAATACTTCTAAACGCAGAAATAAGCATTGAGGCAGCAACACATAGGTCACTTGAAATACCCTGACCAATTAAAGTGAATAACATATCTCCAAAAAACAAAACCAAAACCAAAACCAACAACTGATGTTTAGTATAAGGAATACCTGTGTCATCTCATTAAGTAAGACATAAAGAAAATTCAGCAGAGGTCTTATAGCATAAATTACAGGTTTTGGTATCAGAAACTCACTCTTAGAGATAGAAGTACTGTAACCTTGCAGAAACTTAACAGCTTTAAGCTCAAGTTTCATCAGTTATTAATTTGTAGCCAATATCTCATTGAGTTGTTAGAAGATAAAACAAATTAATGCATTCAAAGCACTTACCACTACCTAGCATTGAGTAGTTGCTCCAAAGAAAAACAGTATAAGGACATAAGTATAAAAAGAATTAGGGAGCATATGGCTGCCATGCTATTCAGAGAAATCTGTTTGCCTTCTTACTAACCTAGTTGGCACAGAAGTCAGCTAATTTATTTTTCACTCATTAGAACTATTAATACTTTTGTTGCTAACTAACTAACAGCATCCCAGCTGGGCATGATGGCATGCACCTGTATTCCCAGCTACTTGGGAGGCTGAGACAGGAGGGTCCCTTGAGCTAAGAAATTTGAGACCAGCCCAAGCAACATAGTGAGACACCCATCTTGAAAAAAATATTTTTTAAAAAAACAGAATCCCTATGGGAATGCATTTCAGATTAAAAAAGACAAAGAGGCATCAGTTAAGGAAAAAGTGTAAAAATATATTTATTGAAGTTAAGCATTAAAACTCTAAGAGCATACTTTTCCATGCCTTGCAATGATGCTGCAGAATGGACTATAGTGATATAACATGTGGGCTAGAGCGACTCTCATTTACTAAGCATAACTTTGTCATTTGCCAACACCTGCTAAAGTCCATACCAAGGAGCTGCTTAAGGGGGATCACTTTGAAATTATAGAAAATTGTATTTGTTTTATGTGTTCTTCATGAATAAATCCCCTTTAAATTTTGAAATCCCTTCCTTCCTGTCAGTTAGTGCCAACTCTAGTCAGAACCACCTACACCCAGAATCTTAGCCAGCTATGCATAACAGTTTGCCCTTAGCCATCAGAAAACATCAAGCCTCTGAACAAATGAGTGCAGGACTTACCTTAAGTGCCAGTTATTGAAACTTGGATATAAACCAAACCCCAAAAATGCTAGCTATGGAGTCTGTGTTTTTTTAAAGCCAAGAATGTATCATCTTGATCCAATTATTTTCCAAAGGGATTCTGGGGTGAAACTCAGAGGCAAGAACATGTTTTTCTCCCAAAATAAACAAATAGACTTGACACTGAGAGAGAAATGTTGTAAATTTAATCCTTTCCCAAATAGGAGGCATAAGTTCAGAGGGTATGATTTTCTTTCCATCTTGATTATGCTGTTTTAAGACCAGAAAGTGAGCTCCTGATTTCCCAAACTAATTTTAGATAGTTACTGTAAACGGATGATTTGAACTGTCATTGTACTACCTGTGGAATAATTAACCCACCAATTCTAATTTGTTCTAAAATACAATTTGTGTAGACTCTTTATTAGTCTGTTCTCAGGCTGCTAATAAAGACATACTGGAGACTGGACAGTTTATAAAGGAAAGAAGTTTCATTGAATAACACTTCCACATGGCTAGGGAGGCCTCATAATCATGGTAGAAGGTGAAGGGGAAGTAAGACATGTCTTACGTGGTGGCAGGTAAGAGAGAGCTTGTGCATGGGAACTCCCATTTATAAAACCATCAGATCTCATGAGACTTATTCACTACCATGAGAACAGCATGGGGGAACCACCTCCATGATTCAATTATTTTCTGGGCCCTCATTTGACACATGGTGATTATTACAGTCCAAAGTGAGATTTGGGTGGGGACATAGCCCAACCATATCAGACTCCACATATTTTGAGATGTGAAAATATAAGCTATACACATAAGTGACAGGTCTAACAGCAACTACCACAGGAACAATGACTGGACTGACCTCCAAAGCTTTTTTAGAATTTATTTCCTTTTGACACAGTGTACCTAAATCTCAGAAACTGTGCCATTGAGAACTAAGTGGCTTAATTCCATGCATTAATGGGAAATAGGTAGTCAACAGTTGGAGACTGGCTGGATGCAAAAATAGGTATAAAGATTTAAATAAACATATTTTGCTAGATGGAAAGGAAGTGGGAAAGAAGAAGATGAGATTAGAAACTGAAAACTGGACTTATCTCAGAAAAAAAATACTAGCTGGATGTCACCACTTCGAATTTTAGGGTTTGGCAAAAAAATATAAACAATGGCTGCTGAAATTGGGAGCATGAGTAAAGTATTTTAATTAAAATAGTCCAAACTCACTAATGTCAAAATAATTCGTTGGATGCTTACATATACAAAACATAAGGAGTAAACATATTTTAGTGAATCTGTGTAGGATTGTGTATTTAATAGTTTAATATTTATTTTAAGTATCCTGTAAATAATATCAATAAATAGAAATGAATCTTGTAAAAATGCAATACTTCTTTTCAATTAAAACATTTGTTCATGATAAAAATATATGTATTTTTTTAATTTATTTTTAATTGACATATAATATTATGTGTGTTTATTATGCATAATATAATTTTCAAAGTACATATACATTGTAGAATGATTAAATGTAGCTAATTAACAAATGCATTACCTGATATAGTTATTATTAATATGGTGAGGACACTCCCTTAGCATTTTCTAAGAACACAATACATTATCATTAATTATAGTCACCAAGCTGTTAAATCATATGTATGGGTCATTTTTTTCAGACAAAATATGTTGATATGAAAAACCAGTATTAAAAAGACATTTTAAAATGCTTCAAAATGATTTTGTTGTTGAGTGGGCCAATGAGTAAATGACTTTCCGAAGTCTATGGAAAGGAAATTCCTGATTTTTCATCTTGAAAGAAGTTTTTCAATGACAAATAGAAACTGCTGTTATCTTACTGAGGAATGAATATATAATGAAATGTCTTCTGGTGTCTGCTCAAAGAAAGTTTTGAAAGCTTCTCAACTGGGTTGTGAAAATCCTACCCTTAGGGGTAGACACAACTTTAATCAATACTGTTGTATTATTTTGATTTTTTTATTTTTTGGGGTATGTTCTTGGATATGTGTTTTTCTTTTACAATTTCTTTTTTGTTTCTCTTTTTTTTTTTTTTTTTTTTTTTTTTTTTTCCATTTTATTAATACATTGTTTCTCGACTTTCTCCATATCTTCTGTTAGTTCTTTAAACATCTTTGCTATGGAGTCTCACTGTCGCCCAGGCTGGTATGTGGTACCATGACATTGGATCATTGTAGTCTCTGCCTCCCAGATTCAAGACATTTTTGTGTCTTAGCCTCCTAACTAGCTGAGACTACAGGCACACACCACCATGCCTAGCTAATTTTTGTATTTTAGTAGAGACAGGGTTTCACCATGTTGGCCAGGCTGATCTCGAACTGGCCTCAAATGATCCACCTACCTCAACCTCCCAAAGTGCTGGGATTACAGGCATGAGCCACCATGCGTGGTCTATAATTTCTTGACAGCACTGATTCTTCTCTATCTTTCTAGGACTAACAAGAACCATTAGGTATGTGTTTGATCCTGGTTGTTTTCTTAACTCAGAAACAAAGATCACTCAAGAGATTTGGCCCATAGGAAGAAGCATAACCAAATATATTTAAGGTGATCTAAATGTCCATTAAACACTACAATCAGTTATTAGTCACTAAACTTAGGTTATTGTGTGAGATCTTCAAACACGACGTCTTAATCAGGTCCAAATTAGTAACTGCATGATGGAAAATAGTTTATAGAAATCTCTTTCTATAAACACTGAGGGTTTTTAAAAATTATTTGAAAAAGACAAACATAAATCACTATATAGAACTTAAAGCATTTTAAATATTATTATTTCAGGAATTTTTTATTTGAAAAGTGCTAAATAAAGACAAGTAGCATTTAAACAACCAACCCAAATGCACATCAGTGATAGACTAGACAGAGAATATGTGGCACATATACACCATGGAATACTATGGAGCCATAAAAAATGAAGAGTTCGTGTCCTTTGTAGAGACGTGGATGAATCTAGAAATCATCATTCTCAGTAAACTGACACATGAACAGAAAACCAAACACCATCTGTGTTCACTCATAGGCGAGTGATGAACAATGAGAACACTTGGGCACAGGGAAGAGAACAACACTCACAGGGCCAGGTAGGGGTTGGAGGGGAGGGGAGAGAGGGACAAGGGAGTGGGGAGGATGGGGAGAGATAACACCGGGAGAAATGCCTGATGTAGGCAATCGGGCAGTGGGGAGTGGAGACAGCAAACCACCGTGGCATGTATAGA